AACAAGTGAAATGCTGCCATTTGCATAAAAAAAAAGGAACTCAAGAGGAGCACCTAAGTGAAATGAGTGAGAAGGAGTAAGGCAAGGGTTGGGTGATCTCACACAGAGGAGATACAGACATGAAACGAATGCTGGAAGAGTGGGCCTGGGCAACAGAGCTGAGGCTGCCAGAGGCAGCAGCCAGGGAGAAGGGTTCTAGAGGCTTTTTGCTTTTGACTAGTAAAAAAATGACAAAGCTGAAAAACTTCATACTGCAAAATTGACATGGAAAAATGTTTAAGTCTCCTGAAGGACATTAAGGCTTGACTGGTGGGACCGCTTTGGGAAACAGCCTCAATATGACGTAGGGCATCCCAACAGGACTTTCTTTCCTAGTCAAGCTGATTATGAAGTTCATATGGAAAAATAAATATGCAAGAATACTTAAGAAAATGTAAAAAAAATAGTTTTATAAGACAATCAGGTGCACTATAAACTCAAGCTAACACACTCTGATACCCATATATACAGAAATACATTAGACTTGAAGAGACACAGTGGGTAGAGATGATACCAAATATATATAGGTTTTAGCTTTGATGCAGGAGGCATTTTAACTCATGTAAAGATAGATTTGCTCAGTAAATGTTACCAGGACAACTAAGTAGTCCTCTAGAAAAAAATTAGGTTACAGTCTTACTGCATTCCTTATTCTAAAATAAATTCCAGATGGACTGACGATTTAAACATTTAAAAAAAAAAAAAAAGAATAAGAAATATGAAAGAATTCTAAAACTATAAATTTTGCACCAGAGAAGGCCTTTCTGTGCATAAACTCAGGATGACATGAATAAGAATGCTTTATTTGATCCTTTATATTTTTTCAATCCTGCCTGGTAAGAAATACAGAAAACAAAGTCAAAAGACAACCTCTAAATTCGGAAAAATTTGATTTCCAGCATAAGCAAAGGGCTAAAATTGTTAATAATAGACACAATTTTTACCAACTAATAAAAAACTATGAACAATTTAACAGAAAATGGGGGTGTGGGGAGCACACAAAGCTTACAGTACAGGAAGGTAACAGTTGTTAAACATAAGACATCTTGTCATTCACAGATGAAATGCCAACTAAAAATCAAGTGAGGCCCTCCCTGGTGGCGCAGCGGGTTAAAGCACTACACTGAGAATCTAAAGCTGCTTCCTCATGAGTTCAATTCCCGCCTGCCCCGGAGGTGACCACATGGTGTGGCAGACCTCTCCCACCCGCTGCTCCCCTCAGCAGTGTACTTCGTCCATCTGCCTGTTCTGTTCCCCACTCTGTCTCTGGTGAAGCCTCTCACCGCCCCTGAGCCTCTGGCCTGCACCCCAGTTCTGTATGCACAAATAAATAAATCTTTAGGCCCTCCCTGGTGGCACAGCGGGTTAAAGCACAGCACTAAGAAGCTAAAGCCACTTCCGCATGAGTTCGATTCCCGCCTGCCCCGGAGGCTACCACATGGCGTGGCAGACCTCTCCTGACCCGCCCACTGCTCCCCTCAGCAGTGTACTTCGTCGATCTGCCTGTTCTGCTCCCCGCTCTGTCTCTGGTGAATTCTCTCACCCTCCGCATCTCTGGCCTGTACCCCAGTTCTGTACAAATAAATAATAAATAAATCTTTAAAAAAAAAAAATAAATCTTTAAAAAAAAAAAAATCAAGTGAGATGCCATCATCAGACCAGCAGAAACCTTGATGTCTGGTTGTATACTGAACTGGCGAGCATTTGAGAAAGAGGCTCTCTGATACGTTGTAAGGAGAAAGTATAAACCAGTACAATTTCTTTAGAGAATGATATGCACTACTTTAAAAATTTTAAATGTGCATATCCTATGATCTGGCAATTCCAACATTTTAGACATCTGTCCTAGAAAAACACTTGCAAATTTATACAAACATGCTTGGGATATTCATTACAGCATTATTTATAACAATAAAAACTTAAAAACCACTCAACTACCCATAAATATAAGAAACTACACGTAACTTATGAAACCTCCGTTACCCCCTCACCTGCCTGCCTGCCGAGCTACTTACTATTACTGCAATGAGGGTGAACAGACTTTTGAGTGAAGAAATAAACCACAGAATGATGCATGTTACAATATCAATAATGTAAATGCAATTTTAAAACTACACACATTAAGACATTTTCTACAAATGCCTATCTGTAATTTTAGATGATCTAAAAGAATAATTACAAATTAATTACATTGGTTAGCAGTGCATGAGGGAGTTAGATTTGAAGTAAAGGAAAAAATTAACTTTCTATTTTTCATTATGAACTTTTATTCTGGAAAAATTACAGAAAATTTGCAAAGAAAGTAGAGTTCTCACATGTCTGGAGTTCCTACCCCCTTTTTTTTTTTTTTAACATTGTACATGGCTTGTCAAAACTAAGAAATTTAACATTAGTACAGTACTATTAACTACAGTCTTTATTAGAATTTCTCCGCTAATCTTTTTCTGCCCCAGAATCCAATTCAGGATGTTACATGGTACTTTGAAAATGAACTTTTTTTTTTTTTAAAGATTTATTTATTTGTGCATACAGAACTGGGGTACAGGCCAGAGGCTCAGGGGCGGTGAGAGGCTTCACCAGAGACAGAGTGGGAAGCAGAACAGGCAGATCGTCGAAGTACACTGCTGAGGGGAGCAGCGGGCGGGGCAGGAGAGGTCTGCCACGCCATGTGGTCACCTCCAGGGCAGGTGGGAATCGAACTCATGCAGAAGTGGCTTTAGATTCTCAGTGCTGTGCTTTAACCCGCTGCGCCACCAGGGAGGGCCCAGAAAATGAACATTTTAATTTAAAAACATTTTGTTATGCTGGGAGTTATTTAGCATAAATAATAACCAAATTACGATAAAACATGATCATCACCACAGAAGTGCTGTTTGGAGCAGCAATCCTGCCCACCTGTGACTATGTGGCCTCTCTCTCGGCAAATCTGTCCCTTTGGGGCAGCTCTTTCTGCCCACTTGTGTCCATGCAAGGGTCCTTTATTTTCCTCTCCCTTTTTATAATAAACTTGCCCTTTTGGATATTTAAAGAAAAAGTGCTATTCTTCCCCCCCCCCCCCCATGAATTACTGACTCAAATTTTTACAAAAAGTATTGGTAGCACACTGGATATAACTGTAGTAAAGATCATTGGGTTGAGTGTGGAGAAATATGTTCAAAATGTTAGTGGAAATATAAACTATTACAACTTTTAGGAGTAGATTATTTGGCAGTATTCTGCAGAGTTTAAATTTAAATACCCCTGTAGCAGTTACACTTCTGAGGATGTATTCAACAAATGAAGGATGGAGAATGACTGCTACAGGCTTTAATTTGTGGTGACGAAGAAACTCAAAACTGGTTGTGGTAATGGCTGTACAACTCTGTGCATGTTACTGAAACCATGGAATTGTCTGCTTTAAACAGGTAAACTGTATGATAGTGAGGTGTGTCTAAAAGTGTTAAAAAACAACAACAAAAAGTAGGGATCTGGGACAGGCCGCCTGCCATTTTTGGATCAGCCTTTACGTCTGAACACAGAGATCTTGAGCAAGATATTTCACTTTATCTGTTTTCTTACCGGAAAAATGGGAAATAACAGCCTATTTCATTGGGGGCTCTTGAAGATTTGATCAAAGTAATACATATGAAGTACTTCAACTATCTGTCACATACTAAGTACTCAATAAGAGATGCTTTTTACTATTTTTCAGTTCTGGACCATTCTTTAAGGAAACACAGAATAGCAAGAAATTTTAGAGAATTTCCTCAAGAAGTACGCCACAATCAGATAAATGAAGACTGAAATAACTAGGTAAATTTCTAAATGAAAAAGTAGAGGGGGGGGGAGATTTAAAATCTCCAATTTGCAAATTTAAAAAATTATAGTCAAGTCATTTAATTATCCTACTAAATAACAAAGTACTTCTAAAGTCAATACAAAAATAAATAAATATAGTCAATATAATAGTTGCCATCTACCATTACACAAATACCAAGCCAACCCAAAACAACGCATATTGTGCATGAGTTCAGACTGGGTTGAATTTGTGTGGCTTTTTTAGAGGTTTATTTATTGATGCATACAGAACTGGGGTAGAGGCCAGAGGTGCAGGGGCGGTGGGAGGACTCTGCAGAGACAGAGCGGGGAGCAGGACAGGCAGATGTATTGAAAACACTGCTGAGGGGAGCAGTGGGGAGCCAGGAGAGGACTGCGGTACTCTGGGGGTCCCTCCCTAGCAGGGGAAGATAGAACTCAGCACTAACCTGCTGTGCCCACCAAGCAGGACCCTGGGTTGAACTTCTGAAATAAATTTTAGAGGCCTACACTTGCTTATCCTTGACATTAAAACAAAGTTCAAAACACATTTTTGTTGATTTGACAGGACATGGACACATTCACTACCTGGAATGGCCATAACGGAATGCAATTTTTGGTGTTTGTGTTGTTGAGGGGCATGTTGCTGTGTGGTGCCGAGTCAAAGTGAAGCATGGAGTAACTAAATCGGAAATTAGAAATTTACTACATCAAAAAAATCATTATTTTTGAAACTGACATTTCCTTATCCAATTTTCATTCACTCCTCTCATTCGTACATGTCTGCTATGATTTTTTTTTTTTTGAAAAGACAAAAATGAAAAAGGAGCTGTGATTTCATGCCATGTACTTCTTCTTTTAGCTAAAAGCAAATGTTGGTGATAAAGTAAACACCCCCCCCCACCTTGTTTCTATGTAAAGTTCTAAACTGACCCATAAGAATCCACTTGCTTAATGTCCACAACTTCCCCACTTAAAAGAAAAGGGTGCACTTGTAAGACCAAGGGCTGGCTGTTACTGGAGTTCTCAATAAAACAATGGCTTCTTCTTGGTAACTGGAACAGGAATTGAGTTGGAGCACTGATTTAAAGAAAAGAAGAAGACATACAACATTGACTATGCAGAGCAACTGCTTACTTACATTCCCATGAAACAAACACACATACCTGGGGAACCATTGCAACCCTCTGGTTTCTTTTAGGTGACCTTGTATTTATTTGTCTGTCATCTTCATCAGAAAAGAGTCGACTTCGTTTTGAATTTCTGAAAGGCTATGACAGAAATTTTTTATTTAATAAATAGGTTGAAATTTTTCCCTTTTTGTTCCAAAATGTAATTCTATAATTTGAAAACAGAGCTAACTCTGGGACTGGTAGTGTGGAAAGATGAACTGTAGATAATACAAAATAGTCAAATATAAACCATGTTAGATTTAGTGAAGAGCGTATTTATGTAATTTGTTTGCAAATGAAATACCTAGCTAGTGATTAAGTTATAACCAACATTTTTTTAATACACTGAAATTTTGAATGGTGAAGACAGGAAAACAAGTTCTGGAAATTCCAGTTCCATTATGCTGGTGCTTGGATTAATACCAGTTGGGTTATCACATGCTTATGTCAGTTGAGTAGGGCTGGGCTGTGGCAGAGTTACTAAATCACTCTAGAGAGGAAAATCTAAATATATATAACATTATGCTAGACCTGCTGTCAAAAACTTAACTGAATTTCCATACAAGATATTTTATAATAGATACTTGATAAGTGACAGTAAATCTAAAGAAAAATTTTAAGTATCCAAAATACACTGAAGTGTTTGCAATACAAAAAAAGTTACAATTCACCCTAGATTCAGAGCCCTCTGAATCTATAGAGAAGAACAGAAAATGTATCAGAAAGCTACCCACAATCTTTTCCAAATCTTTCTCCCACCCTTTAAGCTGGAGTCGCATGCCTCCTTGGAATGGAGTCGGGGCAGAGGGCAGCCGACGGGCTGCGACCAAGTGGGTTACAGCTGGAGGTTTGTTCCGAGCCTTGAAACTGAACCCACTGAGTCTCATCACTCCATAGGTGTGACAGGAAGTCCTTTCTACTCTGTTTCCTCCCCTGGCTCTGGGCAGAGAGGCAGAAGAGAAGGACGGTGTCAGCACGGTCAGACTACAGAGTCCTGCACCAGGCTAGAGAAGCTGCCAGATGCCGGCCACTCCGAGTGCTGCCTATCCCGGCTCTGTACTTGTCCCATGACTGACCCTTAAATATCAGCTGCCTTGCTAGCAAGGGAGAGTGGAGGCCCCCCAAATCATTAGTCATGCTAATCATATGTCCATCTCTATTTACCACTCCTAAATGCATGTACCTTTGACCTACAGAGGATGATAGTATCCTATTACCTGCTTATATATATATATTTCAAGGGCCAGCGTCATATATATATATATATATTTTTTTTTTTTTCCATTCTAATACAAGTATGGTTTTGGGCTTGTGGGAGTTTTTTGGTTTTGCTTATTAAAAAAAAAAAACTAATTGCTTAACAAAAGCATACGAAAACTGCATAAACAGAGGCTACAGAGTATTTACCTCAAACACTGCTCAATGACAATTAACGACTCAAAAGCTTGGATTTGAGGAAAACCTTGGAAAATTTGTTGTGTTATGCAAACCTGCGTGCAACGACAGTACAGACAACTTAGCTATCCCATTCTAACGTGTTAAGGAAACTAGCTCCTTACCATTTCCGCAGTAGAGCCTGTATTCCTGCCTTTCCAAACGGGTGTTTTTTGCAAAGAACTGTACTTTTCATTCCAGGTGTTAGATAAGCTTCCCTCTGCAATAAATAATTATTACTAATTAAGATTTAGTTTAACTCAATAGGTTTCATATTATGAACATTGCCTTTTTAATAATAGCAATATATTTGAAATATTTGATCAATATGAAAAAATACAATGATAATACTTAATTTATTATATTATCAAAGCTAATCAAAGATCACCTCTCTCTTTTTCTGTGAACCTCTAAGTTGACAAGGCAATGTATTTTGAAAGTATTAATTTTAATGTTAAAACATGTATGGGAGCTTTCTTTGTTTTTAATAACACCTTTATTCTAATTTGCCAGTAACAGTGTCTTAAGTACAGGCTGACTGAAAGCAGGGCAACGGAGAAACTTCTCTATCCTTCAGAATTCAGAGCACATTTTAAAATGTTTTCTGTTTTAATATGTAAGACGTTTGAGATCCAAAACTGAAATGTGTGGTGTTTCCGCTTTCCTTACTTCAAAGAAATGTCTTCAGCTTTGTATGCAACCAGAAAAAAAGCCAACCACATAACTTACTAGACATATTATGAAAACAAAGGATACGTTTAAATGTAGAAATAAAAAACTGAGATGAATATACACAAAATTTATTTTTGTATCCCTCTAGTTACTCATCAGCATTTTCTACACCAAATTTATATCACAGGTATATAAGTACTTTTTATAAGAAAGATTTTTAATACTGGGAGAAAAAAGAATAAAGAAATGTTGTTCTAGACATATATTTTAAGAAGTACAAAGAAAAGAGGTGAGAGGAAATTGATGCTATCAGGAAAATGCATCAGGGTGGTTCAGAAAGATAAGTGTTTTCAAACCAGGACTGAATTTGGTAATTCACCTATTGAAATCACGACACTGTAGCTTTAAAGTACAAAAGTACTAACCAACCTTTCAGAACATGTAGCTTGGGTCCAAATTTATTAATTAGCCCAGTAGAATTCTTCAAGAGATAAAATTCAAAGTAAGCTACATGAAGAGTGTTAGTCTAGTGTACTTACAAAAAAGTAGTAAGGCCAAGGAATCTATCTTTTTTCTCAGAAAAAGCAAAGTATTATCATTCGTTTCGTTCAAGAGATTTCATATTATTACTCAGAATCAAAATACCTAAAAAATAAACTAGAGTGCAAAAATACAGTTCAGTAGAACTGTCTAATAAATGCTTTAACATTGTCTGGAGTGTGTAGTTAGAAAGTTCAACCAGTAATTCTAGGAAAAAATTTCTTACAACCAACAACCAATTGTCCTATTACAGCATATGGATTTAAAGTTATCATTAGTCACAATCAGTACTTACAAGCTATAATGAATCAAGACTTAGAAAAGAGAAACACTTAATGCAGATTAACTTAATAAATTAAATGTCTCGCTTATGCCATACCTAAAGAATCATGCTGATTCTTACCTTTTAAACTGACAAGGGCTTTTGCTGAAGAGCCTGCAATTTAAACAAATCAGTATTATTTCAGAATAAAAGAGTGAAAAAGAATTTGGTTAAGGATAAAAGTTATCTATTTAGTTTTAGCAAATCTGAGTTTGAAGTGATAGTGGGATATGATCTTCAAATAACTAGTAATTATATTCAAACTATAGACCAGACAAGGGAAGGAGGAACTGGAAAGAGACATTTTGGAGGCTATAATTGAAACCCGGAGACCTGCAGGCCTCTCCGTGAGAGCAGAGGAAGGGGGGGGGGGCGCACAGGGGCAGGGCGACTCCTAATGCTCAGCCAGGGGCCAGTGTTGCCTCCCAGGGGAGGAAGGTGGGGAGGGGAGGGAGCGATGATGTGTGCTGATGTGTGCTGACTGGGGGGAGTCAGAGGCGGTGGCAGAGCGACAGAACAGAGAAGGGGAGAATCCAGGCACTGTCAGGGCAGACAGTAAGTCCCTGGAAATCTAGAATGTGGCACGTGTGACTCTTTAAGACCCACACTGGAAAAGGGGGATCAAAACGGCAAGGAGGGGCTAGCACAGAGCTGGAGGGCTCACTAGCTAAAACAAACTCCAGCCACACTGGAGACCAGGAGGCGCTTCATCAACCCAAAGTCCGCATACTGACTGAGGGCCTGAAGGGAATCTAAGGCAGGTAACAAGTCTCTTTGAGAAACACTGGCCACAGACTGTGGAGTGATGCCAACTGGGTGGGGGGAACAGAGCAGACAGGGACAGAAGCTCCCTGGTGGCGTGGCCGAGTTAAGTCTCAGCGCTACCACTGGCCTGAGAGCTCACCCTCATAGGGTCCCACCCGCTGCTCCCCTCAGCAGTGTATTTCAGTCAGTCAGTCCGCCTACTCTGCTCCCCACTCTGTTTCTGGTGACTCTTCTCACCCCCAGCATCTCTGGCCTACAGCCCAGTTCTTCTACGCAAAAATAAATAAAATCTTAAAAAAAAAAACAAACAAGTTTTTTTGAGAGGAAGAGCACATACCTACAATTAGACACGTATACTGTATAATAAAGGATGATTTCTCTCACTTACACATGGGATCAAAAAAAAAAAAAGCAAACTCACAGATACGGGAAGTGAATGGTGATTGCCAGAAGCAGAAGGTAGTTTGTGGGTGAAATAGGTGAAGGTACCAACTTCCAGTTATAAGATAAACAACTCATGGGGATGTAATATACACGCAAACATAAAACAAACACAATGCTATATGTCAGTTATATCTGAATTACACAAAAGTTAGGGGAAAAAAACATGTAACATTCCAAAAATAAATCTGTAGATGAGCAAAATCTCTTTTAACCTAAAAGTGGTCTAAAACACCCTGTTTTATTACAGTCAAACTCTAACAAAGTAACCCCCAGGGCAACAGGAGGGCCCAGAGTCCCTGAGGGGAGCGGAGCCAGGAGGAGAAGCCGCAGAAGGCAGGGAGAAGCACGGAATGAGACTGAGGAGAGGGCCGAGGAGGCGGGGGGCAGACAGCAGAAGCTGCTCTTGCTCCTCTGCCTGAGACAGGTGCAGGGACCTGGGGCCGTGGAGGAAAGACCTGAAAGAGACGTGGGTCAGGGGCCCCATGGGAGGCCCACAGTGGCAGCCTCTACCTGGGCTCGGGTTCTGACCTTGCTCTTCCCGTCCAACTGCAGCCCCTCCAGCCCCTTCCCTGTGGGTCCCCACCAGAAGGTACCCTGGAGCAAATTCTCAGGCCTCAGAAGTTCTGCTCAGGGCCAAGCCTGTTGGGCTAGAAATGTACCCACAAGGGGTAGGTCATTTTGGTGTTTCATGTGAAAATTACTTTTTCTATTCTTTATCTTCTCTCTATTGCATACCAACTGTATTACAGTTATTTTCTACTGAAGGCCTTATACCCCAGAGCATGTTTTGCCTTCGTGCACGGAGGGCAGCACCTGTTTCGAAAGGGCAGCTCTGGGGGTGCCTGGGTGCTCGTTCGCCCTGCCCTGTAACAAAATCATTATTTATCACTCCTCACTTTAAAATGCTTTACTTTAGAACCAGCTATTTCTCATTTAAGCTACTATGATACTCATTCAAAGCCTCTTGCCTGGGTCTGAGGAATGGGCCACCCTAATAGCTTCCACAGGCAAAATGAAGTTTCATGACCAAAGGCAGTAAAATTGTTGGGGGAGAGAGGAGAAATAACCAAAAGCCTCAGACACTACAGCACAACTGGGTGGCAACAGTGAAAGACAGGGCACATACCATGCTGCTACCAAGAAACCAGCTCGCTGAGAGAGAGAAAGCGGCAAGCACCCACTCATCGCAGCGTGTGCTCGGGGGGCTCTCGGGCGACAGCTGCCTCGGCTTGCAGGGGGCCACAGTCCCTGCTCTCAGGGCAGAGTCTAGGCAAGAGTGACAAATGACAAGTGGATGCCCCATCAAGCGCTGATAGGCACGGGGGAGGGTAAAGCAGAAGACGGTAAGCACAGGGCCTGTGCAGGGGAGGAAGCAAACAGCAGCTCCACAAAGCGTCCATGCTGGGTGCGCTGACAGGCAGTATCCGAGCGGACTGAAGAGGTGTGAGCCTCGAAGATGTCCGCACTCCTGCTCCGTGCAGGCAGGAACTGTGTCTTGGGGACTCTGGCCAACTCCACTAGCCTCTTTCCTCGTCTGAGAAGCACTGACATAGTGGGCTGGCAATGCTGGAGTCCCGACTCCGCCACTTTCTTAACAGTGTTACTCTCTGTGTTGCTGGTTCTTCATTTGTAAAACAGGTATTAAGTGAGTTATAATGTATGTCAAAGTGTTTAAAGAACAATGCATATAGCATTTGGCTAATTTTTATATCAAGCTGTTAGTTACTTTGATCAAGAAAACTACTATGTTAATCTACAGCTTGTATAGACAAGTGAATCTGAGAACTGAGAATATTGCTGTAACTGAGACGTTCATTCAGTCACTCCATAGTGTTTGCTGAAGGCACATACAGCACTCAATATTCAAGGGGAAAAGATAGAAAAAGATTGTATTAAAGTTATTTCCGACTGAAGGTCTTAGACCCTAGTGGGCGGAGACACATGATAATCATAAAGTGATAACTACATGACACGGTTGTTATAAAAGAAACAAACAAGGTGATCTCAGTGCAGGGAAGTTACACGGGGCAGTCAGAGAAGGTTTCTCTAAGGAGGTGAAGTCCGAGAAGGATTTGCCACAAGAGAACACGAGGTCAAAGCAATGCACCAGATTAAAAGTCGTGACAGAGAACACTCCGAATAGTCAGAGTGGGAAATGGGCGACTGTGCCCGGGGAGTGGCTAGCAAGATGAGAGGAGCAAGAAGAGCCCAGAGAAGCTAAGTGCTAGAGGCAAGCTTGAAGAAAAACAGAAACAGCCTTCTCTGGTGGGGCTTCTGGTCAAAACGACTGAAGTAACACTAACGAATGTAAAGCCTCAACTGTGGCAGCTGCAACTACAAAGTCACACCGTACAAAGTCACACCGTGATATGAAGAGATCTTCCAAGCTACAGTCATTGTCAGGACAGACAGAAAGTAACTCTGAAAAAGTTAAAGATGAAACCAAAGGGAGAGCACACAGCATGTGCAAAGGTCCTGCAGGAAACAAAGTGTAAGGAATGAAAAGGTACAAATTAGCAGCAAGGGAGAGAACAAGGGGAGCTGTGGTGCAGAAAGAGCGGGAGCGGTGGGAACTGGCCGGATCAGTGCTTTAAGGACACTTGAGCACAGTCACGCGCCCCTTAATGTGATGACGCTTCTGACGACAGCCCACATGTAACAGTGATCCCAACAGAATGTACCAGAGCCTAGGTGTGTGACAGGTTGTACCGTCTAGATTTGTGTAATTACGCTTGATGATGTCCCCACAGTGACGAAATGGCCTACCAAAACATGTCTCAGAACACATCCCCGTCATTAATTGGACACATACATCTTGAGAAGATCACTTCGGCTATATCCGAATAGGTAGCGGGGGAAGGAACAGGGTAGTGGCTGAACGGGAAGCTCACGTGCTTGATGCTAAGAAAGTTGGTGACAGCTTGGGCTGGGGTGACCATGTGACGTAGGTAGAACAGAGACACCATGAGAAGATAAAAGTTACAAGACTTAGAAAGGTTTGAATAAAGGAAATGAAAAAGAGGAACATTCCAAAGATAACCTGTAAGTTTCAGCTGAGTGCACAGTGGAGTCATTCATTAAGACAGGAACCACTGGAAGTATCTCTGTTCTGGGTTGGTATTATGAGGTAGATCTTGACCCCATGAAGTTTGATGTGTCTCTGAGGCATCTAAGAGGTCATGTGATCTAGATAAGAGATACCAAGTAGAGGAGTTCAGAGGAAAGATGCTGGCTGAAGATAGCCTGTTTCCTCACATTAAAAAAGCAAATTAAGAGCAATAAACTCAAATAGTGAAGATAAATATGTAAATGTCATAATACTATGTACAACACCTGGCTGGTAGTAAGTACTTTTGAATGGCAACTCTTACTGTGGATAACGTAATACCGGGTACTGGCTAATCAGCCAGGCCCCTTAACTAAAACTAGCAGAAAATATTTCTAATATCCAACTGAAATGACTTTTTCAGGACTCTCCTGCAGTTTCACTCATAATGAAACTTACCTTACGTTCAATTCCATACAAATCAAGTTTTTGTATATCTGATTTGTGGCACTGGGTGGCAAACCAGGTGAGAGGACCCTGCACCCACAAGGTGCGGTCTGGCTAACCGAGGCACACACAAGGGAAACACAGCTGCGTGTCCACACACAACGCAAGAGCAGTCACCAAGTAATAAAAATTATGCAGTGCAGCTGGAATTTGAACCTTAATGTGAATGCCACGTCTCTCCAAAGAACCACAGTCAAGTCCTCAACAAATGTTTCATTATGATGTGCAAATATTCTGAAGTTATATATTAAAACTGCTTAAAGCAGCTCTCAGCTCCACGGAATACTACAGTAACCAAAACATCAGCTCTAGTACCTGTGACTTCCAAAAGGCAGTAAAACATGCCTATGACGAAGAAGCAAGGATTTCAGAGGGCAGCACAGGAGTCAGCAGGCCGCTCTTATTATTCGGGAGCATCCTAAATCACAACCAACTGTTCATCCAAACAAGAAACAAAATTCGTGGATGGTCTACAGTTGTGCCAAAACAGCACAAAAAGCCTTATTTCACCATTCAAATTTAAGTCAGTGAAAACTGGGCCCTCCCTGGTGGCCCAATGGCTTAAAATGCAGCACTATGAAGCTATCAGCAGCCACTGCAGCACCAGTTCGATCCCCAGCCAGGGAGGTGACCCACAGGGCCGGGCAGACCTCCCCTCCACAGTGTACTTCTTCAGTCTGCCTGTTCTGCTTCCCACTCTGTCTCTGGGGAGGCCTCTCACCCACCCCACCCCCATACCTCTGGCCTGTACCCCAGTTCTGTATGCATAAATACACCTTTAAAAAATTATTGAAAATTGTATAAAATTTAAAGTGCAATCATTCAGTCACTCTAACGCACATCCCAAGCGGCCCACGGTGGCACTGAACACTGCCAAATCGAAGCTCAGAGAACGTCTACTGCTAACTCTTAATGCAATTTCTCACCAGTCTGGCAACTTGAACTTCTGTTTTAACTTAGTAACAGGTTAACATTCTAGGCCCCTACAAAGTCAAGTCAATAGCTCTTATCTTAAAAGCCAAATCTTATTGGCCGCTGGCACAGATTTGAGTGATTTTAGCCTTTTGTTTTTGTGATGCTAAAACGCTCAAAATGACACAGCCATGGGACCTGAGAATGACGGCGGCCGGGACCCTGCTTGCAGTGAGCCATGTTCGCAGGCTTATAAGCCCCCCGAACTTCTTCGGGTTATGAAATGAAGGTCTCCTGCGCTCCAGGCAGCAACAGCCACCTGCTTCCTTACACGCGCGGGCACACCTGTGTGGGGCGGGGGCGGGGCCCGCGGTGGGCGTCGGGGGGCCGCAGGTGCAGGCGGCAGTGTCCGGGCACGCAGCGAGCACCCAGCCTTCCGGGGCTACCACCGCCCGGGGCCAAGTCTGGGGGCTGGGGGCGCCCCGCACACGTGTGCGCCCCTGAGGGTGACCTCTGGCGGGGTCCACCGCCACCTGTGGTCCCGGGGGAAGGGGCCAGCTTCCAGGGGGGGCACAGGCGGGCAGCA